GGATTCCTAAAAACAAAAGCATACAGGATTCTATTAGACTCGTGGTTTGACATCAAAGAGATTGAGCATGGGGAAGGGAAATAGTTCTAGGAACTTCAGAGTAATTTTGTGTTTGCTCTAGAGAACACAATCTAAATAAAGAATATGAAATAATGGATTGAGAAAAGTTATAGGGAAATGAGAGAGAAAGAAGAAACATTAGAAGAGAAACATTATAAAAGAAACTGAAGACAAGATAGTTTATCAACATATCTTTTTAATGCTTATTATAAGCATGAAATCATGGTGGGATATCTGCCACTACTTTCTGAGCAGCTGAGATGGTTGTTAGGAGAGGATGAGTTACAAGAGACTTCATAAAATTAAACTAGCCCTCCAGTATATACAGAAATGGTCCAGAAAAAAAGAAAAAATAATCTTAGCAGAGTAAGACCTTAACAACTCCAACCCAAAGGTCAGGCTGATTTTTTCCCACTCCATAATTATACCTCTGCCAGTTTTTCCCTGAGTTGCTCAGGCATGGACTTGCATTTGTAAATGCCAATGGACTGGAATTCCAGTTCACAGGAACTTGAGATTTAAAGAGCCAAATTTCAGGACAGTATGCAAATAAAGTCAAAACAGCCACATACGATAAAGTTAATAATAACAGCAATGCCTCTATATCTGGTTAAAATAATCCTATGCTATACATCTGTTACTTCTACAGCTACTTCTTATAGACCTGCTAGGAACAATCCGAGTACGTGACCTGCACATATGAACTATTAGTAGTACGAGGTAAGTACATGCTTCCTGAAGTTTTCTGGGACAGTTCCTATGGATCCAACAGGCCTGTATGGTAGCCTCTTTATAGATGAAAGGAGACTGACATTCCTACTCTGCAATGCAATTTGTGGTAGAGCAGTAAGAGTGACTGAGTTCTCCAGATTTAAATAGGTAGAAAGGGGGTTGAAAGGAAAACACAGATTTGTATGTATATGCTATAGCCAAGAAGCGAACTAATAAGCCATTACATCCAGTGGCTAAATGTACTTGGAATGTAAATGTGAATAGAATTATAGGTGAAGTAGAGACAGGAATTCAAATATACAGTCCATACAGTAAAAAGGTGTTATATAGATTTATAGAAGCCAATTCATTATACTCCATAACTCACTATAATTTATTCAATTTTCTAATCAAATAATAAAAATGGAAAATTGGAACTAATGTCAGCAAATAAAACCAGAAAAAATGAGCTAGTAGATACAAACAGGCAAATAAAAGAGTCTGACAAGAGAACTAAATACTGATAGAATCATCAACATGAGTAAAGAAATGGACTGAGCAAAACTGGGACAATGGTACAGCCACAAAATGTCTGATTGGTTTAACTCAAGCACTTCACGACTTGAAAATGGTTGTATTCTTATCCAGAGCGTGAAAGTTAATTGATATCGTCACAGAAAGTATCATATTGTTTTGTAGTTCTCTTAGAAGCAACTCATAAGAAATGAAGATTGTAGAAGACAAATGAATACTTCAAACTCTGAGCAAGAGTTTAAAAAAAAAAAAGGCAAAGTTTTCAGCGCCTTGGAAAACTAAGACCACTTCCCCAATACACAAATATAAAAACAATTATTTGCTCTAAGTTTTTAGGCAGCATGCTTAACACAGTACAGCTTGATTATTTGTAACAACCAGCTGTCGGCTGACCTAATCAGTGCTTCACCAACTGAACAAAAAACAGATGCCACAGATTTTAATATTAATTGAAATGCTTTGTCCATTGTATGTAACAAGTTTGTTTCTAGTTTGAAGATATAAACCCCAGGATTTAAGAAACAAAAAACAAACAAAACCAAACAGATGAGAGGTTTGTTTTGCTTGGTTTTGTTTGTTTTTTTAAATCACCTCTATCTTACTAAACAGATTATTAGAACTAAGTATTACCATATCTAGTAAATGCATGTCACTGTTCTTCACATTCCGTCCAGGGCTTAGTAGCATCCCAAAGCATCTGTGAAGTTTGGTTTTTTTTTTTTTAAAAAAAAAAAAAGGAAAAAAGATAAATATTAGCTTTTCAAAATACAAAAGTTATTTTCTTGAACACAATGGCACAGCCACCTACTGCTTCTAATTTAAAGAAAACCCTTCTTAGTAATTTTTTTGTTAGTGTTATGCCAACACTCAGAAAACATCACATTATAGAAATGACAATGAAATTATTTTCCAGAATGAAGATGACAGAAATTAATGTCTGACTTGTGAACAATCAATTATTCTTAAAGACAACTTAGAATATTGAGCTTAAAGATACCAACAACTCGTATACATTAGTGACGGAGATTGGCAAGAAGAAATTCACTCTCTCCCCAGTCCATTTTAAAAATTGTTTTCATACAATCATATGAAAAGTTACAAATTCACACATTCTATCTCCCATAATGTCACTGGTGTAAAACACCATGTAGCATCATGGGCCCTTAAAAAACCTAATTTGCTCAATTTTTAGACTTCTATTCTTTATTTTTTAAAACTGAACTTCTGTATTATACAGGGCCTTGAATTCCAGAATTCCAGTCCAGTCGCTTAACAAGAACATGTTCTTGATATTTTTAAGAGTTAAAAAAATAAAAATTCCAAAACATTCCTAAAACATTCAGACTTTCAAACTTTCTGAATATTGAAGGTACTACTCAAAAGAGGACCAGCTTGAATCAGGTTGCCCAGGGCCTTGTCAAGTCAAGTTCCAAGCATCTCCAGGAACAGAGAATGAATGATCTCTTTTGGCAACCTGTTTCAGTGCTCAACTCCTTTCGTATTGACGATAACTGGCCTCATTCAACAGAGGAATTTCCAGGGAAGTAACTTGCGTCCCAGGACTCTAATCCTACTGCTCTGCACCTCCAAGAAGAGTCTGGCTCGATCTCCTCCATACCCTCCCACCAGGTATTTGAATGCACCAGGAAGAGCCCCCCATTCCCACCTTCTCTAAAGTCTGAACAAAAGCAGTTCTGTCATCTGGGCAACCCACTTATCCAAATGAAAATTCAGATTTTTCAGCAAACATAAATTATAAGAGATTATCTGAACATTCATAGGTTAGCAATGAAGACAGAATAGTTTCAGAGCTTTCAGGCAAGCATACTGTATCATGAACAGAGATATAATAGCAACTATCGTTTCAATAATGCTATTAACTGTAAAAGTCTTAAGATTTGCAATTACTACGCCATCTAGTAAGGTTGCCCCTATTACATTTGGGTATATGATTTTCGTTTTCCACTTCATTACACTTAAACAGTAACTTACGTCCACAATTGTATTTTTCCTTCTCCATATTCTTTCACTTCTAGAATCTTAAAAATCAAAGTGATAAATAAAACAGTAGACAATTTTGATTTATCTATATAGCATAATGCAGTGCCATGTAAAGCAACCAAGGCAGCTAGGATGCTAGGACTTATATTTAATCACACAAGGAGGCTTCTCTGTGAGACTAATTAGACCAGGCAGCACATTACAGTAGACTGACTTACTACTTTTTGTCCCTGAGGTAGAAATAACTCTGAGAGGGCTACAATTTATAATAGTAGAGGGGTCACTAGTTTCTGGTACACGTGCTAAAGAAAACTGTAAGGCTAAGATTCAGAGGAAGGCAAAATATCTGCGCTTTTCAAAGATAACACCTCACAGATCCTAGCTCTTGCTGTGCTTCTCTCAGATGTACACAGGTTCAGATGTGTGCCAGCCAAAATTTTTGGGAAGTATGCTTCCAAAAGAGTGGGAGTCAGGAACAAGTAACCCCTGCCTCTCACAGAAGCAGGTACTTATGATGACTGGCAGCATCCTGCTACTAGAAGAGTCAGGGCTTCTCTTCCCACTAAGTTCAAAGAGCAAAATGAGTTGAAGTGAGTTCAGGACCCTCACTTGCAGAGGAGCTAGATTTTACACAAACAGTTGTCAACATGTTCAGCCTTCAATTTGAAGAGGCTGAATCACACACCCACAATTCAAAACGACCTGCACAGACTGTGGGCCTCAGTCTTTCCACGTCTGACATGTTGGGTTTTCTGCACTTACAGCTGGCTATCAAGTGGCTACATACAGGTGCACTACTCTGTTTAAATTCAACTAGTTTCGAGACCTGCAAAAAAATAACTTAAATTATTCTTCACTAATATATATTTCCATTTATATAAATACAAACGCTACCCACTGATAAGGCTTATGGTATTAAGTTAACGTGGAAACATGATCTTTAAGAGTCTCCAGTACTACTGAGCAACCAGCCAATATTCTGTACATCAGTTCCAAGGACTCCAGTCTAGATTTTAACCTAAGCTATACCTACGTAACTTGGTATTAACCCTCCTGTATGACTGGTAGCATACCATACTTAAACACCACTGCATTGAGAACAGAGTCAATCCTCTCATTTCTCAGAATGAAAGGCTATTTCACTCTTCAGAACAACTTTCTTCAAGTCCTCTGATTATTAACCAGAATTTTCTTCTTGAATCCTGTAAATAACTGAGACTTGGTATTCCACATTGTGGAACTGAACCTATGTAGTGCCACACGTGACTCAAACCTGGGAGACAGGAATGAACATAATTTCTTTACCTGCTTTGACCTAGATAAAAACAGACAAAACCCAGGTCAAACAGGCCACAAAGGTAGGAAGGGCCAAAGTAATTCAATTGAGAGTAACCTACTCCATCAACCTAACCCAGCCGCAGGCCCTATCAGAACACCAGGAGGTAGCAAGTTTCTCTGAGTGATACCAGGTTTATTCTTCTGAGACCATGAAGAAAGATTCTTGAACTCTTTAGATCAGAGACCAAATTTCTTTAGCAGCAACATTTTTTTGCATTATAATTTCCACTTGGAAATACTTTTGAAGACACATTAAATTGCTTAGAAGCTCACTGTCTGATGTAACCTGAATTGATACCAGTTTTGAATTTTAATATTATGCAGTGTTAAGTACATAATATGACTTACAAGCCTGTGTATGTCATGTCAATTAAATAACTTTTTAATCGGCAAAGCTTGTAGTGATAAAAATAACATCCTAATTGAATATCCTAAACACCAGCAAAATAAAAGCTGATTTCCAAGGAAGGCAGCTTTACTTTTGGGGGAAAAAAAACCAACAATCAAATGCTATTCAGAAATGCTTAAAAGGGTTCATCATTCATTAACTGAATTTTGAAGCCAAAATTATTTAAATTAAAAAAACCCATCCTATTTTCAATGTATTTTTAAAGCCAATGAATAGCAAACCCACAATTTTACAATACAGAAGAATGATGATAAAAATCCAGTTCTGTTCAATATCTTTATCAATGATCTGGACAAGGGGATCGAGTGCACCCTCAGTAAGTTTGCAGACGACACCAAGTTGGGTGAGAGTGTTGATCTGCTTGACAGTAGGAAGGCTCTACAGAGGGATCTGGACAGGCTGGATCGATGGGCCAAGGCCCACTGTATGACGTTCAACAAGGCCAAGTGCCAGGTCCTGCACTTCGGCCACAACAACCCCATGCAGCGCTACAGGCTTGGGGAAGAGTGGCTGGAAAGCTGCCCAGCAGAAAAGGACCTGGGGGTGTTGGCTGACAGCCGGCTGAACATGAGCCGGCAGTGTGCCCAGGTGGCCAAGAGGGCCAATGGCATCCTGGCCTGTGTCAAAAATAGTGTGGCCAGCAGGACTAGGGAAGTGATTGTCCCCCTGTACTCGGCACTGGTGAGGCCGCACCTCAAATACTGTGTTCAGTTTTGGGCCCCTCACTACA